TTGTTTGTTTAGAAGATTTTGTCCTTGAATCATTTGGTTTGTGTATCCTCAGTGCTTTCTTACCTAAATGGTTCCATCTGGATATGTATACAGGACACAACATACAAGAAACAAGACATTAATTTGTGTGAAGTTTGTATACAGTAGGGCATGTGGTATGATCCAGTCTGATTGTCTTGTGAATTATTCCACCATAGAATTTTATATAGTTAGTAGTTAGTTTTTGAATGCAGCCGCTTTCAAATTTTAGGCTGTGAGTAAGTGTGGATTGGCTGAAAGTCATTTTCATGAAGACTGTAGTTGATATTTGTACGGTATTTCTTGGATTTCTATGGTATAATTATTATGGCTAGAGTTTATATTGTTAATTTGCTGTCATAGAGTTAATAATTAGTACTAAGGTCTTGATAGTTATTTGGAAATTGCTCTAGGTTTTTTCATAGGTTTCCATGTTGATCTTCACTTTGGGCCTATGTTTGATGATTATGTGCTGTATTATGGGTCTCTAGGTATATTGTATAAATCATTTTCCTCTAGGAATCAGATTGTCGTTTTTGACTCTTTGTGATAAAGCTACTATTTGTTTAATTAGTGGTGGTCTCTGCTGCCACAAATACTTCCTTGTATAATATTGACAGCCATATAATTATCTGTGACCCTCAGTTTCTTTCAGCCTGGTTGAGATGCTTAGTTTTAAGAAGTTTCTGGATTTTGAGAGAGTAGGGTTTCGAGGTTGTCAATGTATTCAATATTTCTAGTTCTACTTAGCTAACATGTTTAATTGCTTTTAGTATAATGTGGTCTTTTTAGTTTTTTATTGTGTGATTGTGTTTGTGTGTGATGTTTATATTTGTTTATATATTATATGTTTAAGTATGGTGTTTCATGGTTGAATAGAGAAAATTTGAGTTACTAGGAGTAGTTTATGTTAATTTGTTATTACTCCTTGCAGGGTAAAATTAGGATCCGCTATTTTCCCCACCTATAAAGCTTCTGGTGGGATGAAAGAAAATTTACAGATTTAAAAGCTTAAAGGAACTAGTAAAACAGTCATTAATGAATGGAGTAAGATTAAGAACTTGTTTTCCTGTCACTAGTGTATCATTCAATCATTTGTTGAGACATTGATTCACAAATTTAAAAAAAGGCAAAAAAAATAAGTAAATAAATAAATAAAGCAATGTGCCAGGTATTTGTGGGGCTGGAACAAGACCACAAATGACAACAAATAGCTCAGGCCATCATAACAAAGCATCACAAACTGAGTGGCTTAAACAACAGAAATTTTCCCCCTGCTGTTTTGGGGGCTGTAAGTCCAAGGTCAAGGGGTCAGCATGGTTGGTTCCTTCTGAGGGATGTGAGGGAGAATCTAGTCCACGCCTCTTCCCTGGTTTGGGGTATTTTGCTGGCAGTCTGTGGCTGGTAGATGAATCACCCTCATCTCCACCTTCCTGTTTATGTGACATTCTCCTTAGGTGCATATCCGTGTCTGAATTTCCCCCTTTTGTAAGTTCACCAGTGATATTGGATCACTGGCTCCCCTTACGCCATATGACCCCGTCGTAACTAACTCCATCTTTGGTGACCTTATATCCAAATGGGTTCCAAATTGGGTTTAGGACTCCAACATATGAATTCTTAGGGGAACATGATTTAATTCATAATACCCACATACCATCTTCCCAAATATAAAAGTTATAAATAAAGCTAACAAGCTAACAAATATGATGCATTTTATTCTTCTCCTATGACAAGTATACCTTTATAAACACCTGGAAGGATGGGTTTTAATTTAGAATTCTTGGAAGGCTTAGAGATCCATGCTAGATTATGGTGGAATGAAAAGGGCTGGTCCCTGTCTTGCAAAGTGCTGCTTTTTCTTCCCACCCCTGCATCGCAGATGGTCGTATGCACCTGTCTGTGGACATTCGAGCTATATCCATATACCCTGCAAGGAGCTTCCCTTGGTCATCTCTGGGGTCTTTGCATCACTCACATTGGTGGCATAGTCTGACTTCAGATGAATAGACCCAGAGGAAAGGCCTGCAAAGGCAGGTCAGGTGGGGAATTGTGGGGTCCTTAGGCACCTAGACTGTGGTCTAGAATGAGGGCTTTGGGTGTGGTTCAGAATCACAACTGGAGGAGGCAGGATTCTCTATGGGGGGGGCATCAGGGCAACAGCTCCTCTTGCTTGAGTCTAAGGCCATACTGTCAGTGAAGAAAACTCTGTAGGCTTAGAGCTTATTGTCTAGCAAAAAGAAACAAAACATAAATAATAAGCAAAATAAATAAGTAAATGGTATAGAATGTCTCAAACTTCTGGCCTCAGGGGATCCTCCCGCCTTGGCCTCCCCAAATGCTGGAACTACAGGTGTGAGTCACTGTGCCCAGACATATTTATAGAATGTTCGAAAGTGATAAGTGAGTAATGAAACAAGTAGAACAGATTAGGAAGGACCTGGTGGGTACCTGGGCAGGGGACAGCTTGAGATTTCATATAATGTGGTCATGATAGGTCTGACCGAGATGGAGACATGTGAGCAGGACTTAGGAAAGGTGAGGGGGGTGAGGCAAGAGCCTATGTGGGATGGAAACACGTTTTGGGAAGAAGAATCTAGCTGATCAAAGACCCCAGGGATGAAGCATGACTGGAGTGCTGCTCGAGCCAGAAAGGAGGCCAGCGTTGCTTGAACATTATGTGCATGGGAGGATAAAATAAGAGTTAAAATCAGAGAAACAGTGATGGGGGGTCAGATCATATAGGGCCTTTTAGGTTATTTTAAAGGCTTGGACTTTTACTCTGGGATTAGAAGCCCCTGCAGAGTTTTGAACAGAAGAACGACATAATCATTCCAGTTGCTGTGCTGAGAATAGACTATAAGGGGGCTGAGTAAGCACAGAAACAATGAGACTGTTTAGAAGGCAATTATATATAATCCAGGACAAGGATCATAGCAGTAACTTAGGCCAGGGAGGTAGCAGGTAGAATGTGGTAAGTGGTTGGCTTTGGGATATATTTTGAAGGTAGAGCCAACAGAACTTCCTGATGCATTGGAGTATATACACACATATAAGTTACATACACACATATGTATATATGATCGTGTACTTCAAATAAGCCCATATCAGCTTATATCAGGCATTCGAATATTTTTAAATAAATGCATAGTCTTTTACATGTTTATATGGTTGTGTAGATGATCATACACAACAGATTAAATGTTTTCGTAATTCATACACAGGAAAGCATTGAAAAAGTAAGGGTTTCAAAATTTCTTCAGTAATTTGAATGGCAGGGTTTAACAAAAATCTGTGATTCTCTTAAGGAATGTATATATATATAGATATACACAGAGAGAGAGAGAGATTAAGGTTGACTTCATGGTTTTTGCTCTTAACAATGGAAGGATGTGTTTGTGGGTTTGTCATCAACTAAGAAGGGAAAGGCTATGGATGAAAAAGGTTAGGGGGAAAAGATTAGGAATCTAGTTTTAGAGATAACTGAGTTTGAGATAGTTATTAGATATCCAAGGAGGATATTGAGTTGATAATTGGCTACTCAGCTCTGGGATTTGGGAAGGTTTCTGGGCGTGAGTTATAAAACTGGAATCATCAATATAGAGGTGATATTTAAAGCTACGAGAATAGATGAGGTCATTAAGGGAGTGAAACTTGATGGGAGAACACCAAGGTGTGAGCCCTGGGACTGGCTGACACTGGGGGTGGTGAGAAGAGGACACTCCTCAGACAGAAGTCTGAGCAGAGACCAGTGCTGTGCACCAGACGGTGTGGTGTGTTGGAAGCCAAGTGAAGAAAGTGTATGGAGGAAGACAGAGTTACTGATTGTGTCAAATATTGTTGATAAGTAAAATCAGATTAGGGCTGAAAAATGACCTTTGGATTTAGCTAATTGGAGGCAAACCATGACCTTGACAAAAGCAGTTTCACTGAAGTGGTGGGGAGCAAACATCTGCTTGTCATGGGTCTAAGAGGCAATTGGAGGAGAGAAACTGGACAGAGCAGAGACAGCCATCGTGAAGAGTTTTGCTGCAAAGAGGTGCAGGGTGAAGAATCGGCATTTGGCAGGGAAAGTGGGGTAAGGTGAATTTTTTTTTTTTTTTTATGATGGGAAAAATAACATCACGCTTGTATACTGAAGAGAATTATCCAGTAGAGAGTAAAGAAACTATGCCTTGGTGTAGAAGAGAATTCCAGTAGTAATGTTCTTGGGTCCATCAGAGAGGATGAGCTCAAATGTTTCTCAATGAACACATGAACATAAACACTTTCACCTGTTTATATGGTTATGTAGATCACCATACAAAATAGCTTACATTTCTTCTTTATTCACACAGGAAAACATTGCATATGCAATGATTTAAATTTTTTTTTCAGTAATTTGAATGTCAGGGATTAAAAAATATATAACTCCTCGTTGATTCTCTTAAAGGATGCGATATCGTGCCTTGAGTTGTACCTCCTTTGCAGGTGGAAGTCTGTAGGATTATTTATTTAGGTCATGGTGACTAGAGGGTAGGTTCAGAAGTAAAGAAAATACTTACTGTGCAAAGATAAGATGTTTTGATCAGAAGGCACAGTTTTGATATCTTGGAGTTCTGGGATAATGAGGTTTAAATCATGCCTCTGGGTGGGAGACATGCAGTGACGATGGATGGTTTGGTGTTGAAGAGGGTAAAAAGTTACAAAGAAGTTTCTTCTAAAAATTGGATTTAACAATTTGAGGCATTTATATTTTGTCTTTCTGATAGAAAATAATACAGCATTCTGCCGAAGCTAACCAATTCCCTCAGTAAATAAGATTATGGGTGGGTATATACATATATATAATTTACAGTTTAAAAATCTGTTACAGATATACTTAGGTCTTTGAATGAATTGATGAGGTTTGTTTATTTGGTTATCTTTCTTGTAAAATATATTAAAAGTACTGCTTTAAACTGTAGGTACACAATTAAAATAAAATGTGAACATTATATTTGATTTAAAAGATATATTAAAATGAATACCCTTTATTATTTTACATACTGAATTTTACACAGTCAATATTCTATTGAAGAGAATAGATTCTAAAGAACAATGAAAGCACAGGTAGAAAATAAATAACTACAAAAGACTGATTCTGATTTTTTTTTCTTGTGTCCTGAATACCCTATGCTATCTTTGACTACAAGGATGCCTTGCTTATGTGATAAAGAGGCCTAGAAGTGACAAAAAAAATACTCGCTAATGAATAATGCATGTGTTCATGGCAGTGGTCAAATTATACTGTTTCCTAGTGGATACCATTTTTCTTCATTGAGTGGGACACTACAGAGTTGGATGTTAATTGCTCCCACAAATACGGTTTTGCTCTTCACAATAAGCATTAAGACATGTCCTTGGAGCTCTGTGACTTCATCATACACCACCTAAAAAGGAAAAGAATAATGAAAATATAATTCAGACGCGCTTAAATACACTTTCTTTTGAATATTGCTTTTAATAAAAGAAATTTAATTGCTAATATCCTGTACCCTGGAATGGATAGGTTAATGTTAGAATCTTTCATTTCTAACTTTAATTCTGAAAAGCTAAAGGTTCCACTGACATAATGGAGTTTAATGACAGACTATTGCTCTAAGAATCTTAGAATTTACTGATTCCACTAAGAATTGCCCTCTCCAAATTTAGTAAGACTGTAAATTACTCTCTCTAGGGAGAAATTTAAATACCCTTCACCCTTTAACTGTCCTTGAATTCTCTGTACAATATTGGTACTAGAACACCATTTTTCTTAGATCTTATTCCTTCTGTAAGTTAACAATAATTTATTGTATATTTTAAAATAACTAAAAGAGTAGAATTGGAATGTTCCTAACACAAAGAAATGATAAATGCTTGAAGCAATGAATGTTTCATTACCCTGATTTGATCATTACACATTGTATGCTTGTATCAAAATATCACACATACCCCATAAATATGTGCAACTATTATGTATTCATAAAAATAAAAAGAAAAACATCATTTTTCTGTGTTGAAGGGTAATGAGGAAAGACAGACCAATTTCTATTATTTCCTTGTGCTCTTTAAGTACAGTACATTGTGAAGAAGTCAATCTATGGTTACTTTTATTTATTTAAAATTGCTTAGTTTTTAACTATGAAAATACACGTTTCATTAAATGAAATATGTATGAAACCAAAAAAAAAGTACAGAAAAGGAAAGAAAAATATCTGAATTTTCACCATTGGGAGATAATTACAGTTAACATTTTGATGTTCTTTTTGTTTTCTATATATAATCACTTTTTGAGAATCTGACTTGTAATTATGCTGTATATACAGTTTTCTGTCTTGTTTTTCTCGTAACTATTTTTATTAAAAGGGATCTGTTCAGCTGTGTTTTAAAATGTCCAGAATGTGAGTTACAGGCATCACTGTCGGGGGCCCACAGTGGTAAAGAGACTTACAGGTGTAGTACGACGAAGAAATTAGTTATCCATCATGTAAGGAGGTGCAAATTGAGTGGAAATCTGACATGGTTACCAGGGAAATGTCTTAGAACACATTTAGACAAGGAATTTCATATGCTCTTACAAACTCGCTTGCTTTTTACAGCCAAGTCATAAGATAGAAACTTTCTTAATATATGCAAAAAAAAAAAAAAGAAAAGAAAAGAAACGCAGAAAAGACAGCGTGAGAAGGAAGGGAGCCCTCTGAGTTCACTGTGCAGGCTCCTCAGTGTGTATGGGTGTGATTTCTGGTCCTTCACATACTATAAGTCTACCATTTATGAACCCATTAATTTATCAGTGAAATTCAGTTCAAGATCAATGAGTTAGCTGCTCTGAAAAATGATTCACTTATCAAGTAAATAATAATTCCATCAAGGGACCTGAAATGCAACACAATGTTAATCCAGTCTACCCTGCTCCACGTGACTGCTCCTGGCTACCTCCTCTTCCAGAATCTCACTCTCATTCCACACAGGAGACTATCTTTTAGTTGTCGACCATTGCTCATTCACATCATTCCATTTCATCTATTGAGTTCTTCTGGGATAATAAAAAAATCTCAAAATCCTACCACTGTCATTCATGTTCTTTAACGACAGTTGGATGCCTAGTGTTGCCTGGAAATCTTTCCAGGACTTCAGAGTAAATTTTTTTTTGTTTTCCTTTTCTCTGAGTGGCTATTTTGAACTGTCTGAACTATACTCCATTTTCCTTCCTACAACACTTTCGGCAGATGAACTCCTCTCCTATTTTACAGAGAAAACAGATGAAGGGGTCCTCAAAGTGTTACTGTATATGAAGTAGAAAATTGGAACAACTCTTTAAGTATTAGGCCTTGTAAAAGTCTGACTTAAGGACTATGAACTGTATGAATAAGCTCTAAATTGTAAATTTTAAAAAATCAATAATTTATATGTATATAACTCTGTTGTCAACTGTATATTTTATCATTTGCATAATGGTGATAATAATCCTTACCTTTTAGCCTTGTGGGGAAGAATAAATGAGATAATGAACATAAGCCCTGCTACAAAGCCTGGCGCATATTAGACACTACTAAATTATAGTTGTAAAATAGCCATCAGATACACAAAAAGGAACAGTTGTTTCTTGACATTGAGTATCAGTTGACTGGAGAAAACCCTTCTAGACAGAATAGAGTCTCCCAGATATTTAGCAAGATGAAAATATGAAGAGATGACTTTAGGAATTAATTACTTTCCTGGTTAAAATATAAACATTTGAACTTCCAAAATTTATACTACTTAGTAGATTTTTTTTCCCCCTGTGCTTCATTATGCAAAAGTTATTTTCTTAAAAGTGACAGGTTTTATAAACATGTAATCATGGCACATCATAGATGATATATATCTATCTTAATTGCTTTACTGCATCCATAATGTTGTTTTTTAAAAAAAGCACTCTTTTAACTGTGCGATGAATAACTAATAGGTAATGATAGCGAAGTGCTCAGATGATTATATTCTTTGAGATTTTTCCGCCAAATCATTTAATATATATTCTGCCTTCATATAAACAGAACCAGAAATGGACAGGTCTTTTAATTTCTCTTTATAATAATTTTTGCCTATAGGCATGAGCCAAGTCTTCACTATCTTCTGACAAATACTGAATTTGTGCGTTTGGAATTATTACATCAAATATAAAACATTTAAAGTAATTAATATCTATTAACTTAAGTACAAGCATTCACTGTGCATTATTGAGGGAAGGGTTTAGTAAATCATTCTAAAGTGCGTTTTCATGATTGCAATGGGAGAACAATAAGATGGAAACAAGCGTCTCTAGTGCTTGCTGGTGGGAAGAGGTTTGAGGAGACAGAACCATGAAAAAGAGCTCAGAAGTAGGAATCAGGAAGTTCTGGGCTTGAAATCTAGTCGTGTGACTCCTGGACCTCAATGTCTTTATTTACAAATACGATTTTCATCATGTTGCAAGCATCAAATCAGATAATGATACAGATGACCACAGCTATTGCTTACTGATTGTACCGTATACTTAGTATTGTGCTGGATAATCACTCCATATTCTGCAAGAGACTTTAAGTCATATAAAACACATAGAATATTTCCATTCTGTCCTAATTTTCCTTTTATATAATACTTTATAACGGGACAATACCTAAGAAAAGGATACAATGTACAAAATGCACTGACTATAACAATGTAATTCTCTTACAGAATAGAAATTCTGTATTTCTAAAGAATCATTTTTTTTTTTTATAATGATGGTTTTTAACAAGATGGCAAATATAGTAGCGTGGAAAGAGGCTTTGGAGTCAGGATCCTGGCTCGGCTTGCTAAAGCTGTGTGGCAGCCACCTGAGTACATACTCCTAGCACCAGCCCCACCTCAAGCCCAGTCATGCTTCTCACCGGGATTTGTGCATGACAGGGGTTTTCAGGGAGTCTGCTTCTGCTGACAAAGTCTATTGGGACTCACTCTGGGAAGTATCAAAATAGACAAGCTTGGCCTCCTATCAAAGGCTTCACGTTGGAAGGGTGGAGCCTCTGTCACTTGGCCGTGTCCCTGACCCCAGCCTCTTTCGTGCACGGGCATTAAGGAGAGAGAGGGCTGGGAATAAAAATAAAAAAGAACTATTTTCAGGAAAGGCTTTGTAAGACATTGGTATGCAATGTAATATCTCTTTTGTATTCCTCTAAGAGATTTATATAAAGAGGGGAGTGAGGTCATTTTCTCCCACTTCTCACAACATTGCACGGCTTTGGCAGTTTGAGAAATCCCAGCTGTGGTGAGTGGCTGATGCAATGGGACTCAGTGAGGAGGTGGCAGTCGGGGGAGACGTTTAAAACAAGGTAGATGCCATGTGAGAACTCACTGGGCTCCCTGGTAAGAACTGAGCTTCTGAGTAAGGACATCCAGTAAGGTGCCCGTGAGGACGCACGGAAGTCATTGAGGGATTTAGCACAGACATATGGGTTCCTATGTCACAACTGTGGGTAAGAGAAAGTAAAATCAGAGTTAAAATTAGTTTTGTTTTTTTTTTTTTTGCATTTCTTATGAATATTCTTATTGTATTGATACAAACATAAAGCAAAATGGGAGAAAAATTAAAATATTGTTGCTTTTTTTCCTTCTGACTCTCTAAATTCAACCAGCTTCCTTGCCAAACTTGTTTATATAATGACCTCTTATTGGCCTGCTGACTACCGCAAAAATAGTCATTTGTGCATGCATTGCTTCAAATTTCTGCTGCTTTGGATCATGTACAGATTGGAACTGGCTATGCATGGACCATGGTTTTTGAAGCAATTTAAAACGTATCTAGACTATAAACAGTGTGTGTTCATGCTGCAAATAGAGATCGATTGAGAGGATATTGTAGTGATTTCTAATCAGTGGGCCAGAGATGTGTGAGGACCTAGAATTATTGCAAGCCATCAGAAAATTTATGTGTCCAGTAAGTATTATCAAATAATCTTCAGGCATGTGTCTCTACTGCTGTTTTTATGGTACAGAAAGCTTAAGATAAATAAAACACAAAAAGTTTATTTAAATTCTCCTGAATTGTTAGTGGCTTTTTGTTATTATGTGTTTCCTCGGATTGAAGATGCTGATGTATAGCATGGAGTCTGGGAAGTTACTTGATAGTGGGGTAGAAGGTCTTGCACTCAAAAGTATGAAAAGAAACAAGTGATATATTATTATAAGATGTATATTTCCAGGTGTTGACATCATGACAAATAATAAAATTCAAATAATAAAGTGTCAAAATATCTTCCCTTACTAATTAAGAGAATCTGTGTGTATGTGTATATATATATTTTTACATTTTATTTCCACTCAAAGTATCCCTTATAAAACTACTCAGATATTTAATAACACGTCTTTTTAGAAGTAACTAAGTATTAAAAATACTAAAAAAAGATAA